GATGACGGCGGCGGTGGCGGCGACGACGACGACGCTGACGTGGGCCCGCGTCCTCAGGGATGCTCTTGGGGTCTCTTGGGAAGGCTCTCGGGGGCCTCTGGGGAAAAACATTGGGGTCTCTTGGGAGCATCTTGGGGGCCTTTTCGGGTGTCTTGAGGGCCTCTTGTGGGTCTCTTGTGGCCTCTTGGGAACCTCTTGGGGCCTCCTGGGAGCTTCTCGCAGGAAATGTCCGTTCGGGTTCCCCGTCAATGCACGCTCTCGGAGCCGTCTTGGGGGCCTCTTGGGCTGTCTTGGAGGCGTTCTGGGCTGTCTTGGGGTTCTCCTGGGATGTTTTGGAGCGCTCCTGGAAGCCTCTTGGGTCGTCTTGGGGCCATCTTGAGGGCCTCTTCGGCAGTCTTGGAGCGGCGGGAAGCAGAAAAGGCGAGAACGCCCAAATATGCCAAACATTTTAGGGAAATCAATGATTTTTGCCTCTTGGGGCCCTCTCGGGAGTGCCTTTGGAGGCCTCTTGGGACCCCCTTAGGCGCCCCGTGGAGTCTTGGAAGTCCAGGGGCCTCTTGAAGGTCTCGTGAGGAGTTCCTGGGGACTTCTTTGGGCTTCCTGGACCGCGCGGGGGTTCTGGGACGCCGCGGGGACCGCGCGAGGGTTTCGGAATCGCGCGGGGGGGGAAGGGTATTTAGGTGGGAAAGAGCGTGTTCTACCGCTGCTGGCGGAAAACCGGGGGGGGGTCACTACTGGTTCGAACCCCTCCCCCCCACCCCCCGCCTCCGGAAAACTGGGGGGGTCACTACCGGTTCGAACCCCTCCCCCCCCCCAGTTCATCATGAAAAGGGGGGGGGGTCACTACCGGTTCGAACCCCCCCCCCCCTCTCGAAAACCGGGGGGGGTCACTACCGGTTCGAACCCCCCCCCCTCGAAAAGCGAGGGGGGGTGCGGACAGTGGTGGGGACGGTGGTGGTGGGGACAGTGGTGAGGGGACAGCGGGACAGTGGTGGGGTCAGTGGGACAGTGGTGAGGACGGTAGTGGTGGGGACAGTGGTGAGGACAATGGTGGGAACGGTGAGGACAGTGGACAGTGGTGGGGACGGTGGTGGTGGGGACAGTGGTGTGGGGACAGTGGGAATGAGGTGGAAACAGTGGAACAGTGGAGGGTACAGTGGTGGTGGGGACAGTGGTGAAGGCGGTGGCGAGGACGGCGGTGGGACAATGGGACAGAGGTACAGTGGGGACAGTGGTGGGGACAGTGGGGACAGTGGTGGGAACAGTGGGACAGCTCAGTGGGACAGCGGAGGAGTCAGTGGGACAGTGGGGACAGTGGGGATAGTCGGGCAGTGGTTGGGGCCGTGGAGAAGGTGGGGAGAGTGGAACCGTGGTGGGAACAGTGGTGGGGACATGGGGACAGTGCGACAGTGGTGGGGGCACTGGTGGGGACAGTAGGGACGGTGGTGGAACCAGTGGGGACAGTGGTGGTGAGGACAGTGGTGCTGGGAACAACAGTGGGGGATGTGGTGCGGACGGTGGTAGGGACCGGGAGTCGTTTGCTGGCGGTGGGGGGGGGGGGGTCGAACCGGTAGTGACCCCCCCTCCGGTTTTCGAGGGGGTTCGGGGGGTCCCGGTAGTGACCCCCCCGGTTTTCGAGGGGGAGGGGGGGGGTTAGGGGAGGGGGGGGGGTTTGCCGGGGGAGGGGGGGGGGGGGGTCCAGCGGGGGGGGATTTTCGGGGGGGGGGGGGGACCCCCGGGTTCCGGAGGAAGAGGGGGGCACTTTTCCACAGTAAAGCGGCGGTGGATCACGCTCTCTCTTAGGTCCCCCCTGGGCCCCCCCTCCCCCGGCGCGGAGAAAGGATCAAAGGGAAGGGGCTTCCCTTCGATTCGATTACGACATTGCGAGGTTTCCTCCCGCAGGAGGGTGCATGGAGAGGCGACGCAGACGACGACTGACGGAGACGACGACTCAGACAGACAAAGCCCTCGCACACGCCGACAGGTGAGGTGATCGTTTTTGTAGTCATTGTTTTGCCGATTGGCGCGGGCCCTCGGACCCCCCCTCCCCCCCCAGGAGTGGATCTTGGCTGTTTTTGGCGCCTGTTTCGAGCATGTGGAGTCCCTCCCCCATAGGACGCACTGTCGCAAACAGTCGCACTAAGCAGAGGTCCGGAGCCAGCCCCCCCCCCTCCCCCTCCCTTTCCGCCCAATGTCGAAGCGCCGAATACAAGAAACGCTCGCCAGGGTCGGCGGATACCGGTCTGATCTTGTCTCGATTATTCTGCCTTCGTCTTACGCGGGGGCGCACGGCCCACGCGCTCAGCACGTGGTCCCATGCCCTGCTGGCGCGCCGGGCATCCACTGCCAGGGCTCTACTGGCTGGCGCGCGCACCGTCGGAGGGAGGGCGAGGCGCGCGCACCGTCGGAGGACTGCCGTCGGACGCGCTCCCGACGAGGCCTGGTGGGCGCGGCTACGCCAGGCGGCCGCGTGTGGAATCACGGGCTCGCGGATTTCAAGCGGGCGCGCGAAAAGCACAAAGACGCGTGGGTCAACTACGGCCGGAAGCACCCAAAGGAGATGGGCACTGGCGGGGGCGGCTTTGTACTGAGGACGGCACCCTGCTTGCTTTTCACTGCTGCTGTCTGTCCGTCGTTTCGCGGCCACCATGCAGGTGCCTGCGGCAAATCCGCCACCGTGCCAGCGAAACACTCTGGGGCGACACTTCGAGCACCGCCAAGAAGGCCGTCACACGTGACGCTTGTCGTCTCCACTTCGGGACTATCTCGGGCCGACTCGGGGCAGTCCTGTTCTGCTGTGGGGCAGTCTTGGGTCCTTGGAGACCTCTTGCCTTGGGCCGTCTTGGGGTCCTGATGGGCCGTGGTGGGGCCGTCTTGGCCGTCTGGCGAGTCTCTTGACGCTGTCGTGGGGCCGTCGTTTCGACCTCTCGAGGGTGTCCTGGGGCCTGTTGGATTCCTCTCGGGACCCAATAGGCTCTTCGTAGGAGCTGATGGGTACCTCTTGAGGCAATGTTGAGCTGAACCATCTTGTCGGCCTTAGTGGTCTTCCTGGGTTGTCTTTGAAGCCTTGGAGATCTCAGGATAGTGCCAAGGAGCGTCGGGCCGTCCAGGGAGCATCGGGATGGAGGGCCTGTGCATGCAGCGTAATGTGACAGAAAAAGGGGGCGTTTAGAAGATTACATGCACCCTCCCAGACAACACTTGGCATTCTACAGCGCCTCAGCGTTCCAGAGGGGGCACGGTGTCGTTGTGGTGTTGTTTAGGTGGTGCATGTCGGCTTCTCAACCCCAGAGGGCTACAGCATGCCACCTCCTCAAGAACATGGGATTCGTGCCGATATCCTTGGCTTCTCGGATGACCCAGGAGTTCAGCATGGAGGGGAACGGGACGAGGAGGGCGAAGACTATGGTATGATGTGAAGGAGAAGGGGGAATATTAGACGATGCCAGGGAGCATTTCCAGCAGGAGGAGGTGGAGGAGGAGGAGGAGGAGGAGGAGGAGGAGGAGGAGGAGGAGGAATGAAGGAGGGCAGCTTTCAGGAGGGCCCCTCGAATGGGCAGCCTATGCGCATTGGTGCAGTCACTGGGACAAAAAGTGCTCACGCATATCTTCCCAGATACCGTGTGAGTGCTCGGCTCGGTCATCGCTTCGCCGCGCGTGTGCCCGGGCACGCGGCGTCCTGTGTACGGCTGTCTTGGATCTCATTGCCGGATCCCTCGCACCCGAGCGGGCCATGGGGCACCACGGCGTTCGGGAGCCCTGCTCGATGGGCCAAGTTTCCACCATCACTACCATATGCAGGACGGGGGAGAAGAGAGGATGGGAGGTCCTCCTCCTCCTCCTCCTCCTCCTCCTCCTCCTCCTCCTCCCTCTCCTACCTATGGTAGTGGCGGTGGAAAATCAGCCCATCACTCCTCGGGGCTCCCAGAGCTAGAGTCTGGTGCTGGAAGCGTTGGGTCCTGCCTTGGAGCCGTGCGCCCGTGGTTCTCATTCCTCGGCGATCGGCGGCAGCCCCCGCGGCGCCCGAGGAGTCGGCCAGCATCGAAGCAGGAGAAACGACATGAAAGCGCGAAGTTCAGAACCCACTCTGAATCTCGAGATGTAGGCCACCAACTGTTCGAAAGAGCAACACTGGCAGCAGAACGATAGGAGTGTTTTCGATCATCGCGCGAATAATTAGCAGGCCGAGCTCAGACATCTGGGAGTAGGAGAGCGAAGCTACTGGTCGTACCCCCGTGCCCCAGCAGGCAGAGCTGTGAACTGCACTCAAAGACTGTTGGAGGTCGGCGCGGATTCCGGGGATCGGCGCCAGGCCGCCCCTCCACGGCGCGCGGCGAGGGCCAGGGGGAGAGCCCCTTGGCGGGTAAGGAAAGAACGCCGTAAGCGTAGACTGCCGGGGGCCCGCGCGAGAGGGCCTGTAGTGCTCCGCGGGCCAGGGCGGGCTCTGGAGGCACCGCCTGGGGGCACAGCGCCGATCCAAGAAAATCCGCGCGGGCCCCCGGCAGTCTTGGAGGGGAGGCGCGGCCCAGCGCCGATCCAAGAAATCCGCGCCGCGCTCCAAACGTTTATGGTTGTGCTGCTCTCTGTTCCCGTGGAAGCTCCTCCTTCGGCTGCTCGCAGCTTGCACTGACTCGAACCTGTGAGTAATTACACTGGTTTCTGGTGCCTGAGGGAAGTGGCGCGCTCTTCAAGACGCAGGCTCTGCGTCTGAGGCCTCTTCCCTGTTTCCTCCTCTGCGGCCGCCCTCCTCGTTCAATTTGTTTCAGTGCGCCCAGAGTGACAGGCTAATGTTCCACCACCGCTACCATAGGCCGGAGGGGGGAGAAGGGAGGATGGGGAGGTCCTCCTCCTCCTGCTGCTGCTCCTCCTCCTCCTCTTCCTACTTGAACGGTGCATGTCTTGCCTTTCTTACCAATCCTTGCGTGCTTCTGCTGCCGTTTACAACCAACACTGCGCCCGTACCGGCTTTTTTGGGTCAGCGGAACATCATGCTCCGTTGCCACGGCTTCGCCATGTCCTGCCGCGCTTCGCGCCTTCGCCAGTGCTCATCCACTCTTACTCTCGCCTTCGTGCAGCTGTTCCGGTTCACCATGGAAGTATACGTTATTCTAGGGCCCGTCGGGGCAGCAACCCATCCGCCAGGACAGGTGGCGGGGAGGGCGCACAACCAGTACAATTACTACGACATCAGCAAAGTCTACTACAGATGCCCCGGCCGCGCCGCCAATGAAGACAACGACGAACTTCGTGGCGCGCCGGAGCTTTCAGCGATCCCTTCCAGGGTTGCGTTGACTGTGTTAGCGTAGCCCGCAGCCCTTACGCCTTCAATGCGCCCGCCTGTTGGAATAACCACAAATGTCGGACACTTGCTCGATGCAGCGTTCACGTCTACAACGGTGTCGGCGACGGGTCTGGAGCTTCTAGTGATTTTGCCACGGAAGCCCGGGAGGAGCAGGCAGAGAAGAGCGGGGACGCAATGGAGGGTCTGGTGGCTGTGTCGCCAGCACTCGAAGGGACAGCGAAGCGGATTTTGGATAACCAGAGTTCAGTGCAGTCAGCGCCAGCTCTCCTACACCCGAACCGATCTCTTGGCACATGACATGTCGTCTTGCGCGCGCATTTCGAGCAGCCTGGAAGGGGCGGGTCGCGATGCGAACTCCTCTTGGCGATCGCGCGATTGGCGGTGGTCAGTGCAGCGACAACGTGACACGCGAGGAATATGCTCCTGACTGTGTCACGGGATGCTCCAAACGCCGAGAAAGCAGCCACGCGACGGAAGCATGCGCCCAATGCGCAGGCCAGGAGGGAGACATTCGGGAGAAGTGTCCGCGGCGGCTCCGAGGCGCGCTGCCCGGACAGCGCTGCTGGTGGCCCCTGGTCTCCATGCAGCACCTCCACGACACATGAAGGGAAGTGCGCTCCGGATGGGAGGCCATCAGAGAGGGCGTCGTAGCCGTCGCCAGCCGCGTCGCTTGCGTGGGCGCAGGGCGCAGGTGGCGTTGGTGGCACGGTGCGACCGCGCCTGTGCGCGGGCAGCAAGCTCGAGTGCCCTTCCAGAAGTGGGTGCGCGAGGTGATGATCAGGTCAGCGGCGAACTCAGACCTCGAGGGGTGCCGCCAGGCTGCCCGCCATTCGTCGCGCCTCGCCGGCACGGCGCGCGAGTGCGTGGACGAATGGCCGCCGGCTGTCCTGATCTAAAGTGGGGCTCATCAGTGGCAATCCAGCGCCGCCGATGATTTTCCTCATGCGCAGTTTGGCCGAAAGGTGGGGTCAACAGGGAGGGGGGGGGGCGCGCTTCGGCGGTGTCTGCGCTGGTGAACTTCAACCGACTGCCGCAAGAGCGCATCGACAACCTCCTCGCTGGGTCCGACATCCTTCGCAACCGGGCGCGGCGAGCTGGTCGGCGCATGATCGGCTGCGAGGGCCTTGATTTCCACTTGCTGCGCGCCTCTGGCGTGTCGAGCATCCAGCTGGCCATTGTTGTGTAGCGCTGCGACATGCCCTGCCCCGCGAACGCCGTGCTGCTCGCGCGCGTGACGGGCTAGCTGCGGCGCTCCGGGCACGTGGTCGAGTGGTCGCTGGGCAACCTCGCCGCTGCGGTCTACGCTGGCGCGCCTTCCATGCCCGCGCGCCCGCGCGAGATCCAGTGCAGGGTGCCCGTGGCGCCGTTGCAGGCCCGAGCAGGGGCTGTATTGGTCCAGCTGCGCTGGGGGCAGCGTCGATCGCGACGCCCGCGCGGCGCCGCCGGCGCGAAGGGCGTTCCCGGCAGCAGGTGTAGACTCAGGCGCCGACTCTGACGCCGTCGGCTCTTTCGGCGAGGGGCGTTGCCACGGGCGACCCCGAGCTGCGCGGCGTTCCTGTGGGTCGGCGCGGCGCGCGTCTCTATTGGACTTCCGGGCGCGTCGAGGCACGCGGGCGCGGCTTCAGCGACGACGGGCCCGCGCGCTGCGTCTGGGGAGTCATCGATGGGGGGGGCAAGGGCAAAGGTGGAAGCTACCGCGCCTTTCCTCAGAGGCGGCGCGTCGCCCAGACAGGGTGTGCGTCGCCGTGGACTTCGAGCGGGCGTTCCTGCAAGGCATGACCTAAGCTGTCATGCAGGAACAAGGTGGGGCACCTTGCGAGGTGAGCTTCGCCTTGCCGTTTGGCATTATGGGCATCGTCTGGCAGGTGCCTTCCTGCGAGAGCTACGACGAGCAGGCTGAGTGCTCTCGCTGCATCGAGCCGGGTGCGGGCTGCAAGGGCGCGCCCGGGGCCTTTTCCATGGGGCCCGCCCGGGCCCTGTGCCCCGGTCGCGCGCCCGCCATAGTGTGGCGTCAAGCTCGCCGGGTGGGGCCCAGAGCGTGATGATCAGCCCGAGACGTTCGGTGCCTGTGGCGCCGGCGTCTCGGGGCATGTGGTCGCGTTGCCCCGGCGCGTCGACGATCTGTTGATCGCTGGACACAAGAGGCACGTCGACCGGCCGATCAGCCACGTCGAGAGCTTCTTCGGCAACGTGAAGGGTAATTACGATGATTTACCAAATGCGGAGAGCACCGGCGCCGCGGTGCCGACGGCCCCGTCATTCTTGACCAGGGCGAATGCATCGACGCTCTGATGCCGATCAGCCACGTTGACCTGGCCAAGGCAGAGGCTGACGATCCAGCCGGAGGTCAGCTAGCAGACTTTTTCATTTCCCTCCTGGAAGCAGCTGTGTGCGTCTCGCTCACTCAGCGCCGCGTTGCCGCGTGCATCGTTGTCCTGGAACGAGCTGAGAGCATGCCGCTCATCCGACGCGTGATGCAGCTTAATTCTGTTGTTCTGGCCGCGAGAAAGATGGGGGCACGCGTCGCCTTTCCTGCCATGGGGTGCGCCAGGCGACTCAGCGCGCACAGCGACGAGTCGTTCAAGAGGGAGGAGGAGGCGGGATGCGGCATGAGAGGGGCCGCCCGTCTACGTGCGTCTCGGCAAGCGTCGCCGCGCCGGCAAACAGGCGTGCCACTTTGTGGGCGCAGTGAGCCGATCGCGCAAGCTGGTGTGCAGATCCTCGCTCGGACCCGGGCGCCTCGCAGCGCGCGGCGGAGCCGGCGGACTGCAGGCGCGCCTTCTCGCGCTTCGCGAGGTGGTGCACGGCCCCGCCTCTGCCGAGGAGATCAGGGGGCTGAGGGGTGAAGGAGGTTGTGTGATCCCTGCAGATCTCGTCATCGACGGCGTGTCTGTCTTCGGCGTCCCGCTCGTGGACCTGGCGCGGTCGCCCTCCGAGAACAGCTTGGCAGGCCACCTGTGGTGGTTAGCTGACCAGCTGCGCACCCAGTAAATCGAGGGCCCGCTGTGGTGCGACATTCGACTCGAGATGTGCAGGCCGACCCCGACACCAAGGGCAGCATGGGCGGGGGGCTCATCGTTGTCATCCTCAGAGCTCATATTCGTGTGACTGTGTCACAAGGTCCACCGTAACTCCGCTCACCTGTGCGCGGGTCGACCTATCCAGCATCCGCGAGATCGCCAAGTTTTGTGGGCATTCGCGGTCAGGATTTACGTGGATGTTGAGCATTCGGTTGAGTGCTGCTCCAGTTCGCTCTGTCAACTGAGCGGCAGCAGTTATTCAGCTTGTGCTCAACCAATCGGGCCCCGGGCGCGGTCAGCAAAGTGCCCGCCGCAGGCATTTTTTCACCAGTGCGGTCAGGTGAGCACTCTCCGCGGCAAGTTAGCGCCAACGAGGGCACGATTGACCTTTTTGAACACCCGACTTGGAAGGCGCCTGCTTTCCTCACCCTGTGCTTGCCTGCTTCCGTAGCCGTTTACAGCCAGTACTGAACCCGTGCCCGCTTTGGACGCGCCTGAAACACACACTCACTCCGCCTTCAGACAAAACCGATCGTTCACATCAATTTCTACCTCCACTCCTCTAGTCTCCTCCTCCTCCCCCTTCCCCTCCCCTTCCTCCTCCTTCTCCTCCTCCTCCTCCTCCTTTTCTTCCTCCTCTCCTACCTATGACAGTGGTTGAGGACCTCGGCCATCACGGAGCGCGGCGTGCCCCGCTGGCGTCCCGAAGTCGCTAGCGACCGCTAGCGCTGCAGGCCAAACCAGCTCTTCTACAATCAGGTGCGGAAAAACGCACAGAACCGCATAATCGTGGATCCCCAGGAAAACAACGGGAAATATGGAAAATCGATGGGGAAAACGAACATCTAGAACATATGGCTTTCTGTCTATTTATTTGCGTGTCCATCGGCCCCTTCAAAAGCATGCGCTCGTGATTCCCAGCCTCCGGCGTTGGCGGCGGCAGTGGCCGCGGTGCCTTTTGTGCCCCTGAGACCCGACGTCGCGAACACATGCAACATCGTAGTTCGACCGGGGTCGTGGACCTCATCTTTCTACGGCATTTCAGGGGTTGCTAAAGTTGCCGTTGGCCAGGGGTGACCCCAACTTTTCGCTTCATTTAGGGGCCCTGCGGCCCTGTGGACCTCGTGAGGGGTGCTCTGGAGGCCGTGGGAGCCTCCCTGGAAATCTTGAGGGCACTATGGGCCTGGCGCATGTGTGGCAACACCCGAACATTTGTCGATCGGGATCGATTTGTGGCCCCGGGGGGACCAGGTGAAAACGCCTAGCGTGACGAAAATGGCAATGTCCAGGTCTCGGCGGCAGCGGCCGCGGCGCCCGCGGGGTCGGCCAAAAGAGATCCGGTTGGCTTCCAGGCGGGGCCACGTGGTCCCGCAGCCTGGCGACGGAAGCTGCCTGTTCCAGTGGCTAGCGCCTGGCCGCCAGCCCCCCTGGGTGAGGAGGAGGAGGAGGAGGAGGAGGTGGAGGAGGAGGAGGAGGAGGAGGAACAGGAGGAGCAGGAGGAGAAGAGGAGGAGGAGGAGGCAGGAGGAGGAGGAGGAAGAGGAGGAGGAGGAGTAGGAGGAGGAGGAGGATGTGGAGGTGGAAGAGGAGGAGGAAGAGGAGGAGGAGGAGGAGGAGGAGGAGGAGATGGAGGAGGAGGAAGAGGAATCATAATAACAAGAAGGATATGGATAATTATGTTATTAAAAATAATACTAATAATATTGATACTAATAATAATAATATAATAATACCATTCATAATAATAATAATAATAATCATAACAAAACGTATAATATTAATAATAATACCACGAATGTCAAACATAATTATAATAATCAGAATAAGAACAATAATAATACCTATACGACCACCCTTCGGGTGATAAGGAGGTTCGGGGGAGGGAGGAACCAACGTCTCACTCGATCGGTCTCACTATCGATCTCACTATCGATCTCAGTATCGGTCTCGCTCGATCGATCTCCCTCGATCGATCTCACAATCGATCTCACTCGATCTATCTCACAATTGATCTGACTATCGATCTCACAATCGATCTCACAATCGATATCACATTCGGTCTCACTATCGATCTCACTATCGATATCACAACCGCTATCACAATCAACGTCATCATCATCATCAACAACATCAACATCAACATCATCATCACCAACATCATCATAATCGGGACACCGTCCTCATCATCAACACCAACATCATCATCATCATCATCACGGTCATCAACATCATCGGGACACCACCATCATCATCATCATCATCATCATCATCATCATCACAATCATCATCATCATCAACATCATCATCATCATCAGCAGCATCGGGACACAGTCATCGTCATCATCATCATCAGCAGCAGTATCATCATCGGGGCTCCATCATGATCACCATCGTTATCATCATCATCATCATCATCATCGGGACACCATCATCATCGTCTCGTCCTCATCATCGACATCATCACCATCATCAGCATCATCAACATCATCATCAGCATCATCATCATCGTCATCATCGGGGCACCATCATCATCATTACCAACATCAGCATCAACATCATCATCATCATCATCACCATCGGGACGCCATCATCATCAACATCATCATCATCATCACCATCAGAAAATCATCATCATCGGGACGCCATAATCATCATCAACCTCATCATCAACATCATCATCATCATCATCATCATCGGGACACAATCATCATCAGCATCATCAACATCAACATCATCATACTCATCATCATCGGGACACCATCATCGTCATCATCATGATCATCAACATAGTCATCATGATCATCATCATCCTCATCATCGGGACACCATCAGCATCATCATCATCATCGTCATCATCATCATCGACATCATCATCATCATCATCATCATCATCATCGTCGTCGTCATCATCATCATCATCATCATCATCGGGACACCATCATCATCATATCATCATCATCTTCATCATCATAATCATGATCATCGTCATCATCATCATCATCAGCATCACCATCATCATCATCATCATCGTCGTCATCATCACCATCAGCAGCATCATCATCAGCATCACCATCATCATCATCATCATCATCAGCATCATCATCATCATCATCATCATCATCATCATCATCATCATCATCATCATCATCATCATCATCATCATCATCATCATCATCATCATCATCATCATCATCATCATCATCATCATCATCATCATCATCATCATCATCGCGGGACACCGCGGGACACCGGCGGGACACCGCGGGGCACCGCGGGACACCGCGGGACACCGCGGGACACCGGCGGGACACCGGCGGGACACCGCGGGCCACCGGCCGCCCGGAAGGGAATCATTTCGTCCGGCCGCGCCTCAGCCACACGGGACACCAGCGGGACACCGGCGGGACACCGCGGGCCACCGGCCGCCCAGAAGGGAGACATTTGGTCCGGCCGCGCCTCAGCCACACGGGACACCAGCGGGACACCGGCGGGACACCGCGGGCCACCGGCCGCCTGGAAGGGAGACATTTGGTCCGGCCGCGCCTCAGCCACAGGAGACTTTCTCTCGCCCTCCCACGCAGCTTCGCCTGGCCCGCGCGGCACGCACGAACACGAAACCGAAATCGATTTCCCGGTAGGGGGGCTCTCCGTTCCACTTCGATCTCACCCCCCAACCTCCGACTACGGAAAACTACCAATACGAATAATAACATTAATCGTATTAATCATACTCAGAGTAAGCATAAGGCACTAACTCATAAGACTAATACGGATAATACTGATACGAATGATACTACGGATGCGAATAATAATAAGATGACGATTACGAAGACCAACATGTTTCCTATACATAAAAAGAAGAACAAGACGAAACACACGCTAACTACTAGCATTATCAATACAAATAATACTAATGCTAAGACTCATCATGCGACGATTAATATTAATCTTTCCAAAGTTAACAGGAATAAAACGATTAATAGCAATCCATACAACATAATGATAACTGTGGTGAGAACAGTAATCATATTAAGCATCGTACTAATAGGATTAAAACGAATATCCATAATCATATAATAAGACTCCGAAGGCTAATTATAATAATACTAAAAGTACGAAGAAGAGTAATAATACGAACACGAAGAATACTACGAATACTAAGACGACGAATAATACTAAGACGAAAACTGCGAATACTAATACCTACGCTACTCATATTATTTACACAACTAAGAAGAAGAGTCGGAGGAGCACGAGGAGGGGGAGGAGGAGGAGGCGGAAGAGGAGGCGGAGGAGGAGTTGGAGGAGGAGGGGAGGAGGAGGAGGAAGAAGAAGAGGAGGAGGAGGCGGAGGAGGATGAGGAGGCGGAGGAGAGGAGGAGCAGGAGGAGGAGGAGGAGGAGGAGGAGGAGGGGAGGAGGAGGAGGAGGAGGAGGAGGGGGGGAGGGGGGAGGGGGAGGGGGAGGGGAGGGGGAGGAGTTTGAGGAGGAGGAGGAGGAGGAGGAGGAGAAAGACGACGAATAAAAGAAAAGGAGGAGGAGGAGGTGAAGGACGAGGAAGAGGAGTAGCAGGAGGAGCAGGAGCAGGAGGAGGAGGAAGAGGAGGAGGAGGAGAAGGAGAAACAAGAGGAGGAGGAGGTGGAGGAGGACGAAGAGGAGGAGGAAAAGGAGGATGACAAGGAGGAGGAGGAGGAGGAGGAGGAGGAGGAGGAGGAGGAGGAGGAGGATGAGGGCGAGGATGGGGTCTTGGCGGCGCAAGCGCGGCTGTCGGCCATAGACCCGCGCTGAGGCTTTTGCAGGAGGACAAGGGGGCAGAAAGGAAACTAAGGAGGGAGGGAGGAGTGAGGAGGGAGGGATTGTGAGGAGGAGGGAGCAGCGAAGACCAGCATGGAGCAGCAGCAGCAGAAGAATGAGGATGAGGATGATGATGATGATGATGATGATGAGGAGGAGGAGGAGGAGGAGGAGAAGGAGGAGGAGGAGGAGGAGGAGGAGGAAGAAGATGGCGAGGACCAGGTCGTGGCGGCGCACCGCGGCCATCATCCATAGACCCGCGCTGAGGCTTCTGCATGAGGAGAGAGGGGGCAGAAAGGAAACTACGGCGGGAGGGCAGGTGAGGAGGGAGGGAAGGTGTGGAGGAGGGAGCAGTGAAGACCAGCGTGGAGCAGCAGCAGCAGCGGAAGGAGGAGGATGATGATGATGATGAGGAGAAGGAGGAGGAGGAGTAGGAGGAGGAACAGGAGGAGGAGGGGGAGGAGGGAGGAGAGGGAGGAGCTGGAGGAGGAGGAGGAGGAGGTGGAGGAGGAGGAGGAGGAGGAGGAGGAGGAGGGGGGAGGAGGAACAGGGAGCAGGAGGGAACGACAGGGATCAGGAGGATGATGAAATTTAAGGGATGAGGAACGGTTAGGGGTTTGGGTAGAGGTTCGGGTTCGGGTCAGGGTGTAGGGTTCGGGCTTACGGTTTAGGGTAGGGTCCACAGGCTCTGCCCCAGCTGATCCCCTCCTGCCTAGGAGCCCACCTGCGGTGGCTGCCAGTCCCACCCGCAAACCACCCTACCATAAAGATCATCTCTCCACTCGTTGTAAGTACAACGAAAGGGAGCGCTTGGGAGCGCATGGGAGCGCCTGGGAGCGCCTGGAACACCTGGAAGCGCCTGGAAGCGCTTGGGAGCGCCTGGGAGCGCTTGGGAACGCCTGGAGCACCTGAGAGCGCTTGGGAGCGCCTGGGAGCGCCTGGGAGCGCCTGGGAGCGTCTGGGAGCGCCAGGGAGCGCATGGGAGCTGCAACGTACCGCAAACCATGGGGAGATCATGGGAGAAGGCACAGGCGCCGCATGCTGTAATTTCATAAGGTTTCGTACACCATGGGCAGCCGAACAAGCGCCGCATGCTGTAATGTCATAGGGTTTCGTACACCATGGACAGCCGAAAAAGGCAAACATGTGAGGATGTCTCAGGCGATTTGGATGTGAGGATGTCTCAGGCGATCTGGCCGCTTTACATGGCCGGTTGCACGACATGTGAGGATGTATCAGGCGATTTGCGGGGGTGACCGCGGCGATTTGCGGGGGTGACCGCGAAGCGGTGGACCCCAGGATTCAGGGCTTAATGATTATACGATTAAGAATTTAGGGTGAGGGTTAGTGGTTAGGGTGGGGTTTCGGGTTAGGGGCCAGGGTTAGGGTTTAGGGTGTTTTTTTTTTGGGGGGGGGGTAGAGGTTAGGCCTCTGGTAGGGTCGGGGTTGGGGTCCACTAGCCCCATTCGAAGCATGTTGGACGTATCCCGCCCGCCCATGGCCCATGGCGCGCAGAACTCAACGCGTCGACGATGACGGCGATATCGCCGACGTCGTCGACGCCAAGCAGACATGACGACGTATCGCCGACGCATCGTTGCAC